TCCGGGAAGAGGAGAAGCAGGGTAAAGGGTTGGGGGTTGGGAATTGGTTTAGGGCATAATTTTCTTGGATTTAAAAATATATGTAAGGATATAGTGGTATATGCGTTCGAACTGGAAAAATTACAACTGCAGGGTATTTGATTCCTCTGTTTGGATTCCAAGGGCAGAGTGTACTCCCACTCAGATCAGAGCTTTTAAGTATGGCCCCTGCCACATGATGATGCACCGAGAGGGGTTTGTATCTTTGGACTTTAGCCTATAGATTTATGCAGTGGAAGAGGCTGGAGGACCCTTCTGGCCAGTCTCGAGGGGAAATAAGAGAAGGAGTTCTACTTATAAACCGTTACAAATTGGTCCTCTGTAATGGCTGCAGTGTTGATAAGACGATATAAGGGGGCCCCCAGTGATTCCTGGGATAACAGCTGCATGTAAGTCAACCACTGAACATTTGCTTGTAGCTGCTCTAGATTTTTGTTTTTATTGAAGGAAAAGGAGTATAAACATGGGACACACAGTCTGGAGGCTGCTTAAAGTGTTTCTCTTGTTTAAAGCTTATATTGAAATGTCAGTGTCTTCTGTTATGCTTACAATTGCCATGTTGGAGCTTACAACTTGTGTTGTGCTTGAGCATCCAAATAGCAACTATTATTTTTTTCTATTACAAAGCTGGCTGATTAATAGTTGTGTTGGTCCACGTTTTATAAATTGGAGAGATAGAAATGATCATTCCCCTTTGAACTGGCCTCCCATAAACAGATTTTGTTCTTATAGCACAAAGTTTTGGACATGATCATCACATTCCCTAGGAAAGCATTGAGGTTGTATTGCAATTATGTATTCAGACTCTTTTCCTTTGCAACATTTAACAGCGGAGTAAATATTTACATTAGCATCAGTGTCTTCTATGTAGACTCGATTCCTGTTTACATTTATGTTCACACTTAAATGCAGATTAACAAGTGGAAGTAATTATTTGAGCTGAAATTTCTGTGCATGGGAAATTATTTCTCAATTATATCCACGCCATCTTTGGTCATGCTTTCAAGTGGTTGACCAGGATGGGAAGTCGGTGGCCTCCAACATGTTCTCAGTGGTGACAGCTTCACTCTTGCCCTTCCTGACCTTGGACCAACAGTGCTGGCCACACACATGCTCCCCTCCACCAGCACACAACAAACAGGGGTTTTCTCTTTGTTCTGGAAAGATGCAGGTTTATAATGAAAGCTCCATATTCTTCTCATTCATTTGACTAAATTTACACTCTGTTTCTTTCTCCCTTTCCCTGTGCTAATCTCTGCTCTCACATGTACTTGGCTAGAATACTCTTCAGCCTAGTAGTGTCCAGAACTGGAGTTTTTCTGTCCTCCATATTATTGCCCATTTCCTATGTAACCTTTTGGCCATCAGAATTTCAGTGTGGTAGTTAATAGGGTCTAGAGAGGGTAGTGCTTTTTAGTCTTTAACTTTCAAAGTCACCTACAAAGGCAAATTATACTCATTGTGGAAAATCTGAAGACTATAGATAAGCAAAAAGGGAAGAAAAATCTAGAAATTTCACCCATAGATCTCCTCTGTAACTCAATAAAAAAAATAGGGCTGCACTAGCCTATTATATCCTTAATGGAATATTGTAATGGTTATTAAATCAATTGACTCAGAATCTCTTTTTAATAAATGAGTCAGACTGTATTATCCAATTACTGTCAGCTGCTACCTTTCCGGAGAGCAGAAATGGTTACTTTGATTGAATTTTTAGGATTTTGGCACCTTAAGGAAGAAGGGAGATAAAAAGACAAGGTGCAGGTTGTGGCTCCGTTGGCAAAATCCTGAGCCTGAGGCTCAAGTTTGCCTGGAATCAGAGGTGTTGATACTGGCACCTCGTGAATATCAACTTTAAATTAAAGCCACAGTGCAACTTTCCAGTTCCTTACCCCCTCCTACCAGATAGCAAGAAGAGAGAAGCTCAGTTTTGAAAGGAAACAGGGCTTACCTAAGGTAGATCCCCAAGTACTGAGGATTTTTTTTTAGGATTTCTTTGAAAATTAAGACCCTGTTCTTCGCCACACAATGTAAATAGAGAATGTACGGGAGCTGAGTTAAACAGAGACTCTGAGTAAGGATAAACTTTTGAAATTCTTATTATAAATACATTTTCTTAGTTTGCCATTACTCTCTCTGCCCTCTTCTTCGGTTAAAAAATACAAAATGAGTTCTGTTAACCAGTGGTAAAAGTGTTCTGGGTCCTTCTGTCACTCTCACTCATTATCCATTCGACCCTGTGTAAATAAGCAAGTGTGAGCACGGGGAAAATGAGTAGGGAAGTTAATAAAGGTGGGAGAAATGTGTAGATGTGTGCCCTGTCTAGCTTAGAGCACACTGGCTTTCGCTTATCTACCATTTGTTGTGTAGTAATTCAGATATATTTTCTATCTTACTCAAATAGCTAGGAAAAGTTACTTGTTGGAAAAGACCTCTAACATAGAAATGAACATAGAAATGAAAGGCAGGTAGAACTCCCAACATGTTTTTTTTTTTAATATTAAAATGTGTTGTTACACTATAAAAAGTTCTGAAAATGCTGGAAGCTATTGTTAACATTGCTATCACTTAGTGCCTTCACCAAGTATGGGATTCATGAAAACTAAGTCTGCACTAATAATGCATAAATGCTTTATGACTTTGTGTCACCTTCTTGTGAATTCACTTGACTAAATTTAGGTTATGTAATGTTTTGGGATAGAACTTCTCTGTTCTCAGGATAGGAAATAAATAAAGATTGATGACATTTTCTTTGTATTCGTACACATATATATTTCTCCTATTAATTTTCCAAACAAAATACTCAGAGTCAAGAAACATAACATCATATTAAAGATCATTCTAACTTGCATAATTCACTTTGTTTTCGCAGAACAGTCAGTCATTATCCTCTAGAAAGCCAACCAGGCTTATATATGTTTCTTCACAATTATTGTAAGGTTAAGAATTCTGGAACAAATGTGTATATCTGCTCACACCCATTGGCCGCATCTTGGTTCTTGTGCCAAACACACGATTTAAAGATGAAAGTTGAACTCCTGGTTACCTTCTTATCACCAAAGTAAGGTATGCAGCATTGAGGAAATAGAAAACATTTAAATTTGGCAAGTTTTTCTGTTGATCAACTTACTGACCTAAGTCCCTACAATAAATTGTGTTCCTGATATTTCTTAATATCTAAAATTTGGAAAAATGTTAGTGACTTTAGGATTTAAAAAAGAGAGAGAGAAAGGAACAGATGAAAACCCCTTGATCTTATATAATCCCTAAAGCTTTTTGTATAACCCCTTGTCATGTCAGTATGCACAATTAAACTCCTTCTTACATAATTATAATCAAGGAATTTACTGTGCCACCCAAATACAGAGTAGGTTTTTATCTCTTGTGAAATGTAGACAGTACTGGGTGGCTTAATTAGTGCTTTGCTTCTCTTTTTACAAATTCCAATCCTCTGCTTCTAAAGACTCATACTTGTGTGAGAAGAAAGATTAGGAATACAAATAGAGTGATTTTACTCCTAGTTAGCTAATAATAATTCACTTTGTAATTGAGCCTTTGTGTTGCCAGTAATATCAGCTGGTGAAGGACTTACACGTGCGCGTTGTGTTGCATGGAAGGAGATACATTTGGAGGATAGACTTGTTGCCCCCATGGTGTGAATATGCCTTTCATTCCCTAGACCGAGAATATCTGACACTCATGTTCCTTAATAACATTTTTAATCACTGCAAATAGGAGAAGATAAAAGTATAACTTGATAACAAGCTAGGTTAAATTGCAGCCTCTCAGCCCTTCCTCTCTCTGAGAAGTCGTCTGGGAGTTGGTGTATGGCAGAGCCTATTTGCTAAGATCGTGGACCCTGAGGCCAGGAGGCCTGGAGTTTAGTTCTGGCTCCACCAAGTATTGCCCGTTTGACTCGGAAAAAAATCACTTAAACTCTCTGGGCCTCATTTTTCTCATCTATAAAATGGGACTGATTGTAGTTGTTAAATTAATTTCTATGTGTGGGCACTTAGAACAACAGTGTCTAAAAAGTTTAGAAAACACTAAAGAAATGTGAGGTTGTTCATTCTAGTGCTACTGGTTTTCATTTCTTATAATTGCAAGTTGAAATAAGTTGGAATAATCTTTAAATTTTAAATTGCAGGAAGGTTTTAATGAGGACAAAAGCAACATAAAAATAATGGCATCCAACAACAGAAACTCTTCACATTATGTAGCAATTATTATTACATCAAAATATTTTTCTATCATCTTGTCCCTAAGATATAAAGAAAAATCCAGGACTAGTGAAAAGTGAGGTTGGAGCTCGTAGAAGCTCCTTTGAAGAAAGGCAGTCTGGATTACCGGGTAAAATTAAAACTGTCTTACAAAGTAGAGGGAACACTGAACTGAGAAGATATGGGGAACTGGGAGTCCCAAGCAGAAAAAATAAAGCACTTATAGGATATGCTATAAGCATGAATAATATTTCAAAATTGCCTGAACATCTTGGGAATAGAAAAAGAAAGTTGTGGGAATACCACTAAAAACGTTATAGTTAGAAATAGAAACTTGTAGAACCTTCTAAGTAAACCAGAGGAGAGGCCTGAGGAAGAAGCTGTCCATTTTCCTATGGGTCCATTATTTTAGGACTTCAGAAACACACAGCATAAAAACATGATAGTGAAAAGGAGACGCCTTAATAGTGACATCTAATTATACTGGAAAAGCTGAACAAAATGCATTACCCTAAGACAAACTCTGCCTTCTGATTATTTTTGGAGGTTAAATTCCAGAAATGTTTTAAATTGATATAAATTCATAGGTAATGTGAAAATAGTAACCAAAACCCTTATACGCTACTATATATTTCTATTCGGTGACGGAAATCGTTTAATGTGTGCCGTTATAGTGAATTCACTCGTCTATTAAAGATGTGGGGGGTTTCAACTTTTCTGCTCGTGTATTCTCCTTAACAGATGAAGGACTGAACCACGAATGCAAACTCTGCAGCCAGACCTTCGACTCCCCTGCCAAACTCCAGTGCCATCTGATCGAGCACAGCTTCGAAGGGATGGGAGGTACCTTCAAGTGCCCCGTCTGCTTCACAGGTAGGAAACTCTAGAGAGCTCCATGGCCAGATCACATCTTTCCTACCAAAGCGTATCCCCACTGCTGCGGCCTTTTACGGATATGACTTTGGTTCAATTTGGGGAGAAGATGTTTGATTTCTGCTGATTAACATTGATTGCTGCCTACTTAAAGGCTCAAATGGGCAGGAAGGTTAACTGTTAGGATGAACAAATGGCATTTCGAGCGCTCGCAGAACTTTGCACTTTTCCATCTGGAAAATGACATCCAGGTTCTGTTCACTTTTCTCCTTTTGGTGTTGAAAGGTCACCAAGTCAGAGTGCCTGCACCAAGCGGCTTCTGAATCGCAAGCCGTCTGACTAGAATGCAGTCATGTTGCCCAGCCCATGTCTGTTATTGAAACACGGAGAATTTTCTAACAGTCCCCATAAGAAATAAAAAAGATATTATTAAAACCCTCCCAAAATCTTTGAACTAGAAAACAGATTAGATAAACAGATTAGATGAGGCGTTTATTTCCTATGAAATTGGATTTTAAAAGTAGAAGTTGATATAAATGTACACTTTTGAGAAGAAACTTTTATTGGATGTTGTAGCACTAGAGTTTTCAGCAACAGCAGCAAAAAAATATATACATCAGAAACTATAATTTGAACCCCACAGGGGTTGAAATATGATCACACACATTTCTGGTACTCCCCCAACAGTGAGGAAGTTATTTTGGAAAATCCTTTGTGATCATTTTGCATGTGTCTTGAACTTGATGGTCAAGCCCCTCAAGGCTATGTTTCCTTCTTATTTGTCTAAAAAAAAAAAAAAAAGCAAAACAAAACAAAAACATATCCTTCTCTGAAAACTGGCTTCTTTGTCTGCACAGCGAGATTCCAGACATTGATTATTAACGTTCTCTGTGTTCAGCCTATAGATTTCTATCCTGTAACAAAATAGGAGAGGGGCCATGTTCATTGCCCAGTTACCACAAGTAGAACTTGAGTGTCGTGATGGCTCTGTCTTCAACATTTGCCTGTGAGGCTCATTCTTGTTCAGTAATTTCATCAGCCACCCCTCATGGAACTGTTCTTTTTTTTTATTCTTTCAATTTGTATTTAAAAATATGTATTGGGTTTAGGGTGGGGGGAAGGCTTGCTTTTTAAAATTCTTTTGTTTATTTTTTTAAGTTTTTACTTTAATTCCAGGTAGTTAATATACAGTGATTTATTAGTTTCAGGTGTACAATATAGTGATTCAACACTTCTGTACATCACCCAGTGCTCATCACAACAAGTGCCCTCCTTAATCCCCATCCCCTATTATGCCCATCCCCCCACCCCCCTCCCCTCTGGTAACCAGCAGTTCTCCGTAGTTAAGATAAAAATATATATTGTTATGTTTTTACCATAACATAGTATTCATCTTAAGATACCATGAGTCAGGAGTCTGAGTTCTTTATAAAAGCTCATAATAAGTCTTCATCAGGAAGACTGGGTCATAGATCCCCTCATGATTAAGACCCCTAATAAAATAGTTATTTGATGTTGTAGCCAGAAGCCTCATAAAATGTGCTAAGTTATATGGAGATCAGTTGCAAATCTGTATAAAAACCCCATTTCTTTTTGTTGATGTAGGTAAGAGACAAAAATGCATTAAACATGAGCAGTCTACATTTTCTGTGCGGACAGACCTGAACTGTTTTAGTGTATCTTGAAGTAATTTTAGAAATAACAATTAAAAAAAAAAAAAAGCTTCCAGTATAAAGTGTGTTAGGTGGGAGAGAAGAAATCTGAGTAGTTTTTTAAGGTAATGAGAAATGTGATTAAAATGTATGACTCACAAGAACAATATTCTAATATTTTAGGTTGGCGGGCAATTAGAATAATTTTAATGATTAGAGTGGAGTCAAAGTCAAATGCCAACATCTTTAATAAATCCTTTCCCTGCCTATACAGATTAATATTGTAGATGCAAACTTTTTTAGGTCACAGTGCACCAGGCATCCATCAGAAGTCAGTTCTGCCAACCCAAACACTGCCTCTGGCATATACAATTTAATTATTAATAGTATGTCTCCTAGGTAAACTGTTACACAGTCTTAGGGCCTTGTTTTGTAGTCATTAAAATTGAACATGTTTATATTATTGAAACCCTTGCATTCAGTGTGTAGGCTGAGTTGATCTTAAAGTATCCAAAGAGAATTTACCTGCAGTTCTGTTTCACATTTATAGACAGTGCCCCAGAGTAGCTGTGGGATATAATTTTTAGCATTAACACATTCAAATAGAGAACTGTTTGCTAGCTGTAACTTTAGGCAAATACAATAAACAGGGTTTTGGCATCTATGATTTCTTAACCTGGGGGTTGCTGAGAAATAAGAGTCATTTCTGTTCAGGCAGTGCTGTGCATTTGACAATTTTCAGCTTTATTTTTAAAAGATTTATAGGGAGCGGGGCCTCAATAAACCTTTACTTTGGAGCTGTTTGGGTTGAATTAGGCACTTGGTAGAGTGCACTTTCACAAAAGCCAGTGACCCAACCACGAGCAAGTGTGACTCAGCCCTCCCCAGTGCCTGGCAGTGGTCACACCCAGAAGGTGTGCCACTGAGGTTGCTCAGTCTGGGGTTCTTCACGGGGAGTCATCGACTGAGGGCATTGCAGGAAGAAAATAACCCAAAGTTCACCATTCTTTTATCATTTCAGTGTTTGTTCAAGCAAACAAGTTGCAGCAGCATATTTTCTCTGCCCATGGACAAGAAGACAAGATCTATGACTGCACACAATGTCCGCAGAAGTTTTTCTTCCAAACAGAGCTGCAGGTAATGTCCCCATGAGGAGAACCGGGACTGAACTCAGTTGCTCTTCTTCTAGGCAACAAGGGCACTTTAAATCTGGATTCACAGTATCACTCACCCTGGGCCACCAGGATGCTCTGTGTGTATTGGGGCAAAGGGAAAATTAGAGGCTGGATTAACAGACACCAAAGTAATTTTGCCTCTGGCTGCTGTCAGTCATAAAAAGAACTGGAACAGACCTGTAATTGGACCTTCTGACCCAGTGTGATAGGCTTAGGGGTCAGCTTTATTGGACTATGGGATCATTCACCTCGCCGTCATGGCCCATTCTCCCCAATCCTGTTTTATTCATGTTCTGTTCCCACTGGACTCCAAGCTGGATGGATGTCCAAGTTATTGTTGTCCTGAGGGGCTCAAAATTGGAAGGGAGAAGGGAAGAGAAGAAAGAAGCTCTACCCTTGTCTAGTATGTTTCTTCCACTTAATGGACTAGAACAATTATTACTCACTAACAGCCTCCTAGTTAAAATGTTGGCACCCAAAGACATTAGGTTTAGCCTTGAGTGTCCACTTGCTAGATATGTGACTTTGCCTGGGTCCCTAATGTCTCTGAACCTCAGATACGAAGAAATGACAGACAAGTGTAACGCTTATGGGGTTGCTGTTAGGTAAAAATGAAGTGACTAGGTCTGAATCTAAGGTACAAACCAGAAAATACAATACAAATTTTCGTTGGTTTTATTACTCTTGGCAATAGACCAGTAGTTAAAATATGGGTAAGAGACCTGGATGCTACCCTAGAAATGTTACTTATTGTGAATGGAAAATAACTTTTGTTTTGTGTTTTCTGTTACTTCATCTGAAAAATGGGCATAATACTTATCCTCATTTTTCTAATGAAATTATATGAGTAACATGTTTTTGCTAAATTTTGTTGGAGCCCTTAGAGGAGAATGGATTCGAACACAAACTCATTTTATTATTATGAGCGTTATCATTAACAATAAAGTCATTTAGCCCAAAAAGGGGGAAAGGAGTAGTTATTTTTTGCATCGAATCGCTTCAACCAGATCTGGATGAAGCAGGAACTCAGAGCCCCACCCACTCCTTAGTTTCTCATCTTATACTGTGGACCCTGGGACAGCTTTGTACCTCCGTGGGCTCTGGGGAAGCCAGATTTATGTGAATTATGTGTCAAAATGAGGAATTTACAGTTTATTCTCTGTTATCATTCTATAAGTAAACAAATAGCAAATTAAGGAGGTGAAATAAAAGATATTTGAAAGAATGGGTGAGCCCATTTCATTGTCACAATTGTGTCAGTGGACTGAAATTAAAGTTGCTGTCTTACTTTTTATCACTTCTAAATAGATTTCTACTCTGTCACATCAGTTTGGGAATTGAATATAGAAGATTGACCAAGTTAGACTATTGTCGAAAAGTATATCTTCTTAATATAAACGAAATTTCTGTTTGAAAATACATTCTTATTACAATATGTATCAAAAGATAAGTCATTTGGGTTTTTATGAGTCTGTAAAGGATATGGCCAGTACACCTAGTGATACTTAATTAGCATGTAAACTGTGGAACAGAATTAATAATAGGTTAAAATCAAAGTTGTAGAGATTCTATAGAGACTGACTTCTATCTAATGTTCTTGAAAAAAATTTGCAACAAAATTGCACTTTTATACTGTATTAGTAGATTTCTAATACAGCTAACCTGGTGGTAAGACTTCAGTGTCTTTCATTAAAAGAACCCAACACTATGGCCATAGTAGCCTGTAGCCCATGGTAGTACAGACAAAACTAAGCAGTTAAACACATCCTTCAGGACTCCAGGTTTCTTTTACAGTGTATTTTAGGGTTTCATGGAATGTACAGAATTCATTCTTTTCTACAATTAGTATAGACCTGTGGTTTTCAAACTCTTTGATCTCAGGATGCCTTTACACTTAAAAATGATTGATGACCACAAAGGGCTTTGATTTATGTGGGTTATTATCCATTGATATTTCCATATTAGAAATCAAAATTGAAAGATGTTTTAAACACAAGAATATACACACATACAATTCTATGGGCTATCAGAGAGATGATGCCATCACTTGTCAAGTAGCCTCTAGAAAATTCCGCTGTGCACTCATGAGATAATGAGAGTGTAAAGGGCAAATAATGTCTTAATGCTATTATGAAAATAATCTTGACATAACAGACCCCCTGAGAGGATCCAGGAGACCCCAGAGGTCCCTGAGCCACACTTTGAGGACTGTCAGTTTATAAGATACAATACAAAACACAACTCTTTCTGACTGTTTAAGATCTTAGAAGGTCAAACATGTCTCAAATCATTCTTGATTCATTCATTCAAATTGTGATCTGGCCACAATAAGACTTAGTCCATAATCCAAAGCTGTGAGCACTCCTTTTCTAATCCCATAACTCAGAATCATACATATTTGGTCTTTTTTTGGTGGGGAGAGCAGAGGGAGAGGGAGAGAGAGAATCTCAAGCAGACTCCCTGCTGAGTGCAGAGCCAGATGCAGGGCTCGATCTCACGACCCTGAGCCAAAATCAAGAGTTGGACATTCAACCAACTAAGCCACCCAAGTGCCCTACATTTTTGGTCTTGATATGAATACTCAAGCTCAGTACATGCATCATCCCTTAGATAAGAACAGTTTTTATAGTTAGTATGTGATAATTTTTAGAAAGTGAATACCACAGTCATTGGCCTATCTATGTAGGTCTATTTTCTAAAATCCCCAGTAGTAGCAGTGGCTTTTGGTTTCACTTGATGTTAGCCAGAAGGCCAAGAAGCGATTGTGGCTTTTGTTTCAATACATTAAGAAAAATGGATCAGAGTTAACTTTACTTTTTCCAGTTTTGAGAGTGTTTCGATTTTTATGCTTTACCCTCAGGGGTTCACAGTCCTATACATTTGCTTTCATTACCCAAATTACCTTTATACCTGTGCTCAGAGGATGGAATTAATGTAATTTTTAAAGATTGATTTCTTTTATTTCCTAAAAAGTGGGTATGATAAGTGTACAAAAACCATAATAGTTTTGTTAATTTCTAGAATGAGGGGGGGAAATCAACTGAAGTTAAGGTAACAGTAGAAAATTAAATTGGTAACCAAAATCATAAGAGTAGAAAAATGAAAAATGAAGCCATTTGATCAGCCTACTTTGGTTCGTGCTTTGGTTTGGAAAATAAATGCAAATTTTAAAATTGATACACATTATACATACCACTTGAACTCATATTCATCTACTTTTTTATGCCACTGAAGTTCAGAAAGGAGGACTTTTCGTAAGAGATTATAAAACTAAATGTTCAAGAACTGAAATCCTATTAGAGATTGAAAGCATATAGCTTTTTTTTTTTAAGATTTTATTTATTTATTTGAGAGAGAGAGAGTATGAGCGAGGTGGAGAGGTGGGAGGCAGAGGGAGAGGGAGAAGCAGACTCCCCACTGAGCAGGGAGCCTGACACCGGGCTCCATCCCAGGACCCTGGGATCATAACCCGAGCTGAAGGCAGATGCTTAACCAACTGAGCCACCCAGGCACCCCTGAACCACCCAGGTGCCCCTGAAAGCATATAGTTTATTTGACTCTTCTATCAGGGTGAGAATACTAGGGTAAATCTAGAATGGGCATTTCAAAATCACCTCATAATACAAGGATGGTGTATCTTTTAATGGCGCACAAATGATTTCATGACCATAAGTAATTTACATTTCGTTCACTGCTTATGCCCAGCTGAAAATGTGAAAGCATTTTTTTGTGACTAGAAGTGCTTTGTTGGGTATAAAATTATATACCCAACACACACACATGAGTGTGTATGTTATTTTCATTGCTATTGCCTACAATACCAGTCTGAACTCAGATAATTCCTCATTATATACTGTCCATCTTCAGGAGACCAAGGACTCAGACATCATCTTTTGGACATCACAGACCCCAACTCCTTTTAGAATTAAACAAGACAAAACCTCTGTTTCTATGGAATACTCAATCTAGGACACACCTTTTGCCCGTGTGGAAGCTATGTTCTTCACATGACCCCTAACCCTTTCTGACCAAAAGTTCTAAATTCCAGTTTAGAGATAGATAATGTGTAATTATTGGCAAGATATAGTCTTTTTCTTTTGGTAGAGTTTTCCCTCATTTGTGCAAGGAATTCTGATATATGTCCACCTAGCATGCTGGTAGGGAAGATGTGCTTTGGAATCAAAGTGCATTATTTGAATTAAATGAACATTTTGTTATTTTAAAAGCAAGTGAATATGTTGAATGTTTCACATGTTTTCCTAATAGACCTCAAAACTTTTTCTGCCGAACTTAGGGAAGCTGCTTTGAGAGATGAATGGTGTAGTCCAAGAATAATATCCCACAATGCATATTTGTATCCAAAGTGGTTTATACAGGTGTGAGCAAGTAGTGTGTTTGTTAAAAATGCTGCTGAATAGGCCACTTTCTTTCAATATAGTAATTACTGTTTAATTGGTGCCTCTAGAAAAGCTACAATTCAAAGGCAGTGATCCAATCATCCTCTGCTGATGTGTCTCCATAGAAAGTTCCATCAGGCACCATGTTATGAATGTAATGAACATAGAGGGAATTCCAGCAGGAGGGAGAGGGGGGATTGGCCTCCGTGAACTTCAGGCTCTGAGATTCTGGTATTTGAATTCCTTTTGAATCAAAGCTTATTGTGATACACAGCCCTTCCCTTCATTAGCTCATGAATGCAGTGTTTTCCTCACTCAAAATGCAATAATCATCTGACATTCCAAAGGATACACCATGATTTTCTGTCCGATATCACTTCCGTTTAAATAGGCAATTGTCTCTTCAGCTATTTTTCTTTTCTCAAATCACTTTCCCACCAAATCACATGATCTTGATGCATCTTTTTCACACCACAGCTTAACTGGTGCTCAGGTCTTATGATCGTACTTCTGAAAGAAAAATGAAGCAGTGCGCGTAGGATGGGCCCTATAAGACAATACAGCGTGGAAATGTCGCTGCTGAGCCGGTCACTGGGTGAGCGGCTAACTTAGCTCCTTCCCTCAACTAGCCTTTTAATAAATTTAATACAATTTCTGTCTCCAGTTATTAACTAATACATGATGAGACATTTAGGAGTCCTTGTTAATAGTCAAAATCACAAGTGCTACGCTATTTACTTCTATTGTCCCCGTGCCATTATTAATTAAGGAAATATATTTATTAATTAAAATACTTATAAAAATATAACTTCATCATTTTAAATTGACCATGATCCCAATCACTCTATGACATATCAAAAATAATTAGAAATAGATCATATTTAGTCTACCAGAAAAGATAAGACATGCATATCATTAGCCATTCTATGAGCTAATATGTAATAAACTATTATAAGTATTCCAAGAGAAGATGCTTATTCTCCAGCTGGGAGACTCAAGAAAGACATCATGTGGGACGCATTCAAGCCAGTTCTGAAGGATAGATGTGTTTCTGATATCTGTGGTTATGGTAGAGTTAGCCACCCATAAAGTCTCAGTTAGTAGTTTAAAAAAATAGTTTCTATGGGTTTTTTCATTTGTTTTAATTTGCTTTCAATTCTCTATAGGCAGCTTAGTACAAGGGAAAGGGCGTCAGTTGCAGAGAAGACTCACCAGAGTTTGATTTTGGTCACTGCTACTTACAAGCTATCAACTGTGTGCTTCAGTGTTGCCATCTGTAAAATGGGCATGTGGGAGACAACAAGGCCTCCTGCCTAACTCCCAGGATCCTGGTGAGAGAGGGCAGCAGAGGAGCTCATGCTGAGCACTCAGTGCAGAGTGTAGAGCAAAACAGGCATGGGGTGAACACTGGCTCCCTGACCCTCTCCCTGCTCCCTAGTGCTGACCTAAATAAACAAAATCAAGAGTCATCATTACTCAGAAATGAAATCTCTATCTCAGACACGTCAGAATTTTCCTTAGCTCTCTGCTCTAGTTCTACTGGAATAATTTACCAATTAATCATACCTTGACATGGTTTCATGTTAATTGGTATCCAGGTTAAAATTCTTATTTTTAAACATTCATCTTTTTCAAGGGATTAAAGAGTCTTGGGCTTTTTTCTTTCCTTTTTTCTTTCTAGCATATAACCATAAAACAAAACATTTATATTTGCTTTCAGAAATGTATTTCAAAACAACCTGCCCCTTCTCTCCACACACCCTAAATTAAGGACAGGTGACCAAAA